TTTCCTTTCAACATATCTTGTGAGGGATTCACACCTGCCAGAAGTGGTCGTATCCACTACATATCTCAACTTTGGCACTTTGGCAATATCTTGACGTTCATTCGCCCGGCTCTGCTGGGACATGGTCATCTCCAAAGGAGAAAAAAAAGGATGCAGCGGGACCACCCAACGACCCGGGACCGGGAATTGAACATTGTGCGCATTGTGCTTTTTTGGAATTGGGTGTTCCCACCGACACCGAAATTATCTGGAGGGTCCCTCCCTCACCTTGAACGGCTCCACCTCCCGAATGGCCGGGCGAGCCCCCCCCGTAACGCGGAAGCCAGGAACAGCTCGGCGGGCGGCGTGGATCCCCGAATGGGACAAGATGGGAAAAAGACCCCAGAATCGGACGACAAAGTCGGTGCCGGTGATGGCGGTGGTTCGAGGGTTCATCAAAACGACGGTGAAGGAGAAGATCCCCGAAGATTCCATCAACCATGTGCCGGTGACGGAGCTAGCAGAAAAGAATGACTCGCTAAGGCGATGTGATGAGATTGAGGTGAGTGATTGTGCCGATATTGACAGCGACACCGACAGCACGGTTGTGGGAGGAGCACTAACTAGGTTTGAGGGCTTCACCGGCAGTTGCAAAGGTAGGTGAGGGAACTGAGGGCGGACGTGAGACCTTTTTTTGCATATAACCGTGCTTTACATAATTGTATCTTACACAAACATTTCATCACAGCACAAAACCCCACCATATCGCTGATCTGTTTGGAGCCCAGAGCTTCATCGAGCTTCAGCTCGAGCTCTAGGAGCTCCGACCCTCCCTTCATCAACATGATGGAGCCATATTCAGGCACCCGCTCCAAAAACTCCAGCATTAACCTTGCCAAATCATAATTTCCGTCGTACTGCTATTTTTATGCCAAAATCCGTGCCCGGAGGAAATTTCACAAGTTTATTCCCCCAAAATAGTGGGGATGGTGGACCACGTCTGTGTTGTCTCGGTCCACGATAGTAGTCTGAAGATCCACACTCCAAGTCTCGACCGACATTTTGGCTTCTGTTGCTGGAGCCCGATTCATCTCGTCACTCTCACGATAGTAGAAGAAGGTCCACTCCATCGCGATAGCCCCAAGAGGAAAACAAGATAACCCGATAACCCGATAACAAGCCCGCCCTATCATTTCCCCAATATGGCAACCACACCGTCACCGTCACCACAGGCGGAGAAGCTGAACGTAATCGCCCTCATCTCCGGCGGCAAGGACTCGTTCTATTCCCTGCTTCACTGCCGGGAGAACGGCCACCGGGTCGTGGCCTTGGCTAACCTCTTCCCCTCCGCCGCGGGAACGGGAACCGGCACAGGCCGGACAAGCCCGTCGTCTTCCGTATCCGACGATGCGGCCCCACCTCCCGGAGCTACCATCCCTGATCAAGAGGATGAGGACCTCAACAGCCACATGTACCAAACCGTGGGCCACAGCATCATCCCCCTCTACACCGAAGCCACCGGCATCCCCCTCTACCGGAAGGCTATCAGCTCCTACGGTGCGACCCAGCGCGGGAAGGATTACTCGCACTATGTCTCCACTCCGGAGGAGGTCAACGAGAGGAAGCATGACGAGACGGAGTCGATGTTCTGTTTGCTCAAGGGGATCAGGCAGAGGCATCCAGAGGTGAATGCGGTTTGTGCGGGGGCGATTCTCAGCACGTATCAGCGGACGAGGGTTGAGTCGGTGGCTGTGAGGTTGGGGTTGACGCCTTTGGCGTACTTGTGGAAGTTTCCTACTTTGCCTGCTAGTCCGGGGGGTGATGATGGGCAGCTGTTGCTGGATATGGAGCAGGCCGGGTTGGAGGCGAGGATTATAAAGGTTGCGAGCGGGGGGTTGGAGGAGGGGTTTTTGTGGGTTAATGTTGCGAGTAGGGAGGGTAAGGACAAGGTGGAGAGAGGGATGAAGAAGTATGCTTTTGGGGGATGGTTGGATGAGGGGGTTGTGATTGGGGAAGGAGGTGAGTTTGAGACGTTGGTTGTGACATTAGGTGGCCAAGAC